AATACATTCTTCTAAAATCCTGAACCAGTGGGAATATACAAAAATACACCTTATGAGGACTTAAGCTGTGAAGTCGTAGCTGGTGTTCTTAGACATCCCACCTATAACTATCACACACATATTTTGTCAGAGTTATGATTTATTGTGATCTCAGTAAGTCTAGAGCTCATGTCTCTGAAGAATCTGGCAAAAAATCCACCTTGCTGGGCTGGCCGGTGAAGGTGCCGTTGGGCTGAATGCCACGCTCCAGACAGAAGAGTTCCTAACGTGCATCTGCCAGTTTGAACTCTGCCTTGGCCACTGTGAGCAGAGGTATGCTCACAATGAAGGGGAGGACAAGGGAAATGGTGAGAAGAACCAGTGAATATCCTGAGTCTATAAGCTGATCTTACCTGAAACTCCAAATCAGCCAGTGATTACAAAATTTTCCATGAGACTGGAATTAATGGAAAATATTCTGGCACTTATTAACAAAGAGGCAGAAAAGTATTTTGTTGTGTATAGAAAGAAGCAATAATTACAAGAGCTGGAGATTTTCAGTCATGGCTACATATAGTGTACAGTACATGGGATCTATGTGTGCATGCACATAAGCCCATACAGAGAGAAAACCTCTGTTTAGGTACACAAGATATACAACAGTAGGTCCCAGCTAAGGAATATGAGCCAAGTACAGTTATCTGGGACAAGACAGCTGTGCTGCCTTGCTTATAAAGCAAAGGGAATGAAGTATCTTCAGATCTGTCAACCTTCTGTTGAACAGGTGGAAAACAGGTTTGTAGAAATTAAAGAACTAGAATTAAAGTGCCTTTAGTACCTTAATTAATTTCACCCTCTGATTGTTCCAGACCGTTCTCTGAGTACTTTTAATGCAATTTAACGTGTGAAGAATTGACCTGACACTCAAGAGGACAGCATTCTTTACACATTAATCTCCTGAGAAATCCTTCTTCATACCTACACTTCTCTAGTCATGGCTGTTCAGTCAATATCCAGTTTCTAAAGTGTTTACTATTGTGTTATGCACGCAGTTTAATAACAGAAATCTGAAACACAAAACATAGTATCATATTATAAAGGAAAAAGAAGTGTGTCTTCTTGATTGCAATGCAGACTGTCAAGGATCATGAATTTAAAGGTCTCTCTCAAAAACACTCTCACTGGACATGGTATATTTGAATATGAATTTTTTGGCAGATGATTTTGATGCAGGCTTTTGGAGTATCTAGGGAGATGTCCACATCTTTGCTCTTAATTTTAATACTCACAAGCTAGTAGGAAAAGGCCATTAACACAGGGTTAAACATACTGTATTCAAAATACATCAAGAGTATCTTCTACACAAACAGAAGTTCCAGCCCCATCCTTCTTTTTCCATCTAATAAATATAACTTTCCTTATAATGGAATTCCTGTCCTTATAAGAAATATATTAAAAATGTAACTAGACATATTGGGCTCTAAATGTATTTACAAGAAGCTAATACAATGTTCTGTTCATACACTGTGATTAATGTTTGTTTCCCCCAAAATGAAGCAAAAGCCCCAGCCCTAAAGTCTGTTCTTAAGCAAATCTTCCCGGTTAATTCTTCAAGCTAAAACTTGGGTTTGTGGGTTTTTTTTAGTAACAATAATTTTAACACATCTGGAGCGTCTTCACAAATAACTGGTTTCCTTCCTTAAAACTCTAACAACTGGTGAATGTTCTACGGATAACTCATTTATAAAAGATTATTAACCCTTTCAGAATTTCTTAAGTTACTCTTTCAAGAGGTGGCGTAATTTTTAAATGGTACCTTTTCTGACAAAGGCAACTGCAGAAGAATGGCTGACACAGAGTTGACTTTCCTAAATTCCACTGATTGAAATGAGATGGGGAACAGATGGAAGTGCAAGAAATTCCACTTGACTGATGATCTGTGGATAAGGTAACATGGGATTATCTTCTTGTCTCCTGGTGCTAAGGCACAAAACCTCATCTTCCTGTCAGCCGCTCCCTGTCTTTGTGACCTCTGTTCATCTGCTTACAGACAACTGCTCTTCAGCCTTTCAGCTGCCTACAACAGGGGCCAAGGCAAGATTTTTGCATCTAGCAAGATGGCACAACAAAACACCAGAACTCTAATTTGTTTTTATATCTGGAGTTACTAGCAGAAAGTTCACACGCACACAGTGCACACAGACACATTCTCTCTCACAAGGTGTAAACAGTAGGATCCTCATTCCTATGTCTTTATCCTGCAAGATATAATGAGAGTGAAGAGAAAAATACAGTTAAACCAGGTACTTTATTCTTGGTACTGGTCTGGGCCATCCCAAGGTACACAGAGACACTTACACAATTAAAAAAACAAACAAAGCCTCCCTGGATCTTTCATAGAAAGTAACTACCCTTCTCTAACTCCTAAGAAAATACAGTTTTATAACCTTCCAACATCTTCAGTTGCTTATATCTCATGAGAATCACACTGAACAAGTTCTCTACTTAATTCAAATACACCTGTACAATGACATGTTGCGAAACATTTCCAGAAATTGTTTGAAAACTGTAGAGTATCAATACATTAAATGCAAAGGTTTTCATACTTTCAAATAAGCAACTCTACAAAGAGGTAAATCAGTAGCCACTTTATTGTGAAAATTAAATACTCTAGTTCTAGTATTAATTGCAAAAAAAACCCCAAAACATCCTCATAAGCTTGTTTCTGCCTTCTTGCCCTCTTGTGATGAATTACATACAATGCAATGCAAAATCAGTTGTACTCAAAAAAAAGCAGGTTACCAACCCACACTTAAAATCAAGTTGAATGTTGGAGTCCTGCTAAGTGAGTGGCTGTGACATTTGACAGCACTTCAAACAGATATGGCCTGCCCACACCACTGGTCCCAAATCCCAAAATGCAGCTCTGCCATCTAATTAAAAATGTAAATAAAAAAACAATAGAAAAAAATGTTTAGAATTAAGTAGTCAATTTGATGAGAATTTGCACTGATTTCAGAATGAAGTTTCATTAACCAGCTTACAAAGTACTTAAAGTGCAGCCTTGCAAAGGAGGGAGCCAGTAGACACAACCTAGTCATCTCCTGAAAGAGCTTCTGTGTTTTATCCTACCCGGTTTCCCATCAACTGCTGGTTGCAGTTGGAACTACACTACAGCTAGATTACAAGAACCATCTCCAAGCTCAAGAGCAGCTCTTCTCTACACACACAGAATGCGTAAGAAATAACTTTTTAACATGGTGAAGCCGTATGGGTTATTAATCCTGGTGTAAAAACTTTGGGGAGGGGTATGGGATTGGTCTGGTTTTTACTCTGAGACAACTAGGCATGGTCATTACTGCATTCAGGAATGAGCTGCCCCAGTTTGTCCAACACTAATATTGGGATATTTCTCTACTGGGATAATCCAAGAGGAAACAGACTCAGAACTACTTTTAGCAGTGGAGATGCAGACTGTTTTCAAAGTGTCCCTGCAGACAGCAAAGCCACAGATCACACACGGTCTGAAGGCAACAACAGGTTGCTCTCTATGTGAAGAAAACTGTAATAGCCACCATCTCAGTGTATGGCTACTGATGGAGACAAAGGAACAACCTGAAGGGGACTACTGCTTTAAGACATCACACTGGGTGGCTACTTTTCACTGGTTTGGTGTTTTGGATAGAATTTGCCCACCAAAAAGGCTGCTTTGTTCAACATTTTGTAGTTTGGGCTGACATCAGTCAATCTGAATTCTTTTGACAGAGGTGCTAAGGATGGTGGGCTATTTGTTCACCACATATAACTTGTCCTCTCCAGCACAAAACAGTGCTCCAGTGAAGACAATACTTAAGTAGGTCAGTGCTCTCTCCTTTGGAATTTACCCTTTATCAATCAATGACAGTTAGATGGATGGAGAAGAAATGTATGTTCTATCTCAAACCTCCAATTTCTGCCCTAAGTGGTCAGAAACAGGGTTGGTCTGGTGACAGGTCTACAAAGACAATCTTCTTGCCACAGATGCTGGGAAAGTTTGGGGATTTCAGAGAAGTGTCTCTTTCTGCCTATTAACAAACTTACGTTGTGAATGACAGAGCATTGCTCAATGGCTCCCATGTAACCCAGGACTTTAGATAGGGGGGCAGTGGGGGAAACTATAGACAGAGAGAGACTTTTTTACATCTGTAGAAACAAAGCAAGAGGTAGGAAAGAGTACAGCAATGCAACTTCAGTTTTTCAACTAGCCAATAAAACAGTTTAAAAATATAAGAATTACTATGCACAAAGCAAGCATAAAGTGCAGTAGTTTGCATTTAAGAAGAGTAGGTGCAGCACAATAGTCTTTCTGGCCCACCACCTTGCCTTTCTGGCTTAAGAATGACTAAAATCAAGACTGGACGTATAAGGAGGCATTAGTCACAGGAGAAACCACGGCCTTCAAAATGCAATACGCTCGACTTTCTCCAGTGTATTTCTGCCACGTGCTTGTCCCACATCCTATGCTGCAGGAACTGGGCTTTTCAGATGTCTTCATGCAAAACAGAATATTCCCCTAATTATTGTTACTCCACTGCTTTTTACAGTCATGAATGCTATTTCACTTGTTCAGAGGAACTGCCCAGCATGTGCGAGGATGGAGCCTTCTACCACAGTTCATAACTGGCTCCTCAACCCTCACTCAAGAGCTACAACCAAAGCAGAGTGTTTGAAAAGGAGGATTCTTAGTCAGTTGTACATTACAGGAGGAGTGGCTTTAGCCTGGTGTTGGACCAAAGAGTGTTGTGGAGCCAAACAAACCATCAGAATTCTTGGCATGGTTTCAAAATTCATACACCACCATTCCCCATCTGAAGAAACAAAGGTATCACTACAGGAGTTCGCAGGTGGTCATGTCAGTTAGGACACTGATTCCAACAAGTCCTTGAAGAGCATGATAACATCCTCAAGACAAGCTGACAGTTTTACAGCAGCAGAGAAAAACACACTCTGTGACAGAAGACACTTAGTCTTGAATCAGAGGCCTATGGACTGGAGAAAATACAGCTTCGGAAGAGCTGAACCAGTTTGTAAATGAATGGCAGTGATGTGGGAGAAGCTGCAGAACAAACCAAAAAGCAAAAGAGCCTTTATTATGAAAGGTACAACTAAGATACACTAAATATATTAAGAAAGAATCCCAACTCGAGTTAATCAAAACCTAGTCATCTTGTTTCCTTCTTCAGTTCAGTACTTGGACCTTCACTCAGGGCACTTCCCACATCCCTAACAAGCCACTTCAAGTATTTTCCAATGGACTATTTGGAGAATAGCTGTGGAGCACGTGCCACTCAGCAGAAGAGGGAAGAGCCATCCTCTGCACACCCCAGCTCCCAGCTCTACATCATGGGTCCAGCCCATCCTTCAGGAAGAGCAGCAGCCATTACCAGCATGACTCCAGCAGCAGCAGACCAAACACCCAAGTACACTGCTGCCCTGGACAACTCTCTGCCTTCCTGAGAGGCCAGCCCTAGAAGGCAGTCACTATTCCAAGAGACATGCACCTTGGAGCACCTCCAGACAACCAAGATGGAGGCTGAGCCCAGGACAGCTCAGCCTGCCCCTCACTTTGGCTGTCAGAAAGAGCTGAGGATGGGGTAACTGTTTACATAAAACTGGCTTTTGTGGAGCTACATCTTTCTACATGGGCTGCAGCTGGAAACAGTAGGAAAAAGCCCAGATAAGTTCCTAGCCATCTATTTTTTGTGTCTCCCAAATCCCCACATCTATTAAGAGCAACTATTATGGTCTCTGTAACCATAACAGGATTTTTAAAAAATGGAAAACTTAATGCTGTACCTGGGTCTAATCTCACCACCACCAGGTACAGCAGAAAAGTAGCCAAGAGCATCTTTTTGTAAGGAAGCAAATAGAAGTGGCCAGATATGGACCTCAGCGCTCTTCGTAGCAATGTCAACATGGTCAAGAGCTTTTGGGACAGGGCACCTAGAATACAAGAACACAAAAGATGTTAGGGAAAAGTAAAGTAAAAGAAGTAATCACATAGATACAGATAATAATGAACTAAGATACTAAAGTAAGACTGTTCTTAGTTTGATTGCATGACAGTTGGGTTGGTTGGGGTTTTTTTTTGTAGAATTGTACAGTTTCTCTCTTCCCTATTACAATACTTTTCATTATACCTTTTTTTTTTTTAGGAATCTACTTTAATATAATATGATCTTATACCACAGTAGTGGCAGCTTCTCTCCTGGGAGATAATGTCAGTGATTTACAGTTCTGAAGGAGAAGCAGTACTTTAAATGCCAGACATGCATTGTTCTGTATGGGCTCGACTATAAATGGAGACAAAGCAGAGACAACAAAACATGGCCTTCAAGGATTGGCAGTTTTCATTTCCCTTCTGGATACTTTCTTAAAAACAAACCAAACAAAACCATTTATGCTGAAGTGGTTTTAACCTGAAAAAAAAATCTAATTTCTTGACATCGGCCGAGACTAAATACACTTTGTAACTGTCAGCAAAGGGATGAATTTGTCATCCATTTTCTTCTGTGATACCCAAGAGGACTTTTCCCAAGGCCGGTTTGTCATTACAATATTCTTATACCTAGGTTAATAGTTGCTATCCTCTGTTAGTAAGGGACTAACTAACCTGAAATGAAAAAGCACAAAAAGGGAACGCCTACCCAGAACAGTTTCTGTTGCTGCACCTTGCTGCTCTGCAGCAGCGGCCGAGCGCGTCTCCTCCTGCCGAGCCCACCGACCGCGGCCCTCACAGACCGCCCCGAGGAACGCCGCCTGCTGCTCGCTGCCGAAAGCGTCACAGCCACGGACGAGCTCTTCGGCCTCCTCAAACCGGCCGAGCGGAAGCGACACGTGTGACAGATACAGCTCCAGCACAGAGCCATACTCGGGGAGGCTCTTATTGGTTTGGTCTCTCAGCCAGCTACTGCCAACCTCCAGCATCACCTGGGGCTCTTTCACTTTGCTGTACAACAGGATACTGGAACAGAAGAAATACTAGAAAACAGTAACTCTTTGTAAAAGTTGAGATCACTGACAGTTACTTCCCACAAGCAGCTATCATGAAGGCATGTATCAGGGTCTACACTTGAAGCATAGAGAGGTTTCTGAGGCAGCCAATAGGTGCAGCCACTGATGTTACTTTCTCAACATCACCCCTTTTGTCCTTTCTCCCCAGGAAGCAACCTGCAGGCATGCTCCAGCACACACAGGTGCAAAGTGGAAATATCACACAATAGTCAAGCCTGACCTGTTATTAAACCTAACACAAGTCCTGTGTGTATCTGACAGCCACAGACAGAAACTCACCACAGCTCCAGAACTTTTGGAGGCAGATGTTCAGGTACATAATAATACTGCAGGACCCAAGACAGAACTTCTCTCCACCGGTTCATCTCAGCCAGCGCCTGAATCCCCACAACACAAAGGGAGCATTTCACTTCTGCAGAACTGGTAACGAAGAGACACCTAAATAAGCACTTCTTAAAACCACGTTTCCCCTTACATTCCTTCCAGGGAGCTGCAGCCTGGCCTGGGTACTCTGCAGTTCTCTGGCAGCCACTTCAGCTCCTTTCCCTTTCCTCATCGCCAATAAAAGTCAAATTCCACCCCCCGAGAAGACGCACCGAGTCTGCACGTCTCGAAGGATGCGGGGAAGGCTCCGAGGCACACCTCGCTTCCCTCACACACGCAAAGATCCCACCGTACGAACCAGGTGAATGCAGACAGGCCATTATCAGCAGCCCAAGCCAAGCCGGATTTTAAATGGTTAATAATTCGCTTTTTAGCCACAAGTGCCAACCTCCGTTAATTTAGGTCATTAAGAAAAAACTAAGCAACACCACAGCAAGGACCAGCGGTGCCAATGCCGTTCCTACAAAAAATGTTTATATCGAACCTAAGGGGCTCCTAACACCTCGCCAAAACAACCCAATTTATTAAACTCAGAAACCCCTCTATTAAAAAAAAGACACCAAACACAAAGCCCGGAACAGGGCAGGCACAGCATGCAGCCAGCAGCCTGACGCCGAAGCTGCACTGAGCCTCTGCCCGACACCGCCCCCTGCCCGGCCCGC